GAATCATTGATTTTTCAATACTATCCTCCCCAGGAAATAATGTTGGATCTTTATATCCACAAGTTATGAATAATGTGGCTCCACTTATAACATATTTCTCACATTGATTAGAGTATACATTGGAAGTGGATTTGTGATAAGGATGAGCAGTAGTTGATATGGAATCATCTGAATTGTAATCAAACTCGACCTCATTTAATACTTGTGGTTCGCATTGAACAAGTTTCCCAAAAAAAACAAATGTATTATGAAAACAAATAATATTTGATATGACAACAAGATTTGATTCTTCTGAAATACTTTCCACGAATTTATTAGGAATGTCATTGCCGAGCGTAGGATCATTAGAAAAGCCAGCATCCACCAAAACTATATCAGGTTTTCGACCATAATTATGTTCACTCAACATATTTTCTACAGATTTGCAAGGAATTTTATCAGAGATATGTGAATCATTGGGAAAAACCATACTTAGTACAATAACATGAGAATTCTGACAAATCGACTGATTAGAAACCGTTGTCTCACAAGGATTTTGAGTTTCATTTAACTCTGAACTCCTATATGACTCTACACTGTCTTTTAAAATCGTTGATGAATATAAATATCATATAAATGTCATTATGAATACTCGACTCAGTAGAATCAGAATTACAAGACTTAATAATCGTTGCAACAAGATGAATATTAGTATTACAGACTGACCGAATATGTCCAATATCACCACACTTAAAGCATTTAGAATTATGAGATTTGCATGAATTAAAAGAGTGGAACCTGCCACAGGACAAGCATTGACAAAACTTGTGCTCATCTTCGTGAACTGCATTGCAACTCCTCAATGAATTATCTGCATAACCTTGAGTATGCAGTGGGTTGGGATAACGTGGTAATGCAGTGGAAGTTTTTATATCCTCATGAATCATTTTACGTGATCTTCCTCCTTCACTGCATTCGAAATTTGTATGGTTAGCATAGTCTAGCAGCAGTTCCTGTAAGATCCAAACTACGTTTGGACTGCTGGACAGCTGTCTGGATGAGTTAGATACGCGCCCTCGCTCGATTGAAACCAAAACAAAGTAATTGGGTAAGATGGCGGTTCTATAATTTATCATAAATTTAAGTGTACATTATTACCTAAACAAATATAACCACTCAGCTATCCAACCAATAATTGTTCAATTGATCAAATCTAAATTACAATAAATAAGAAAGTTGATAAAGGATGCAAGAAATTTACCAATCACAACAAATCAACGTTATTCTATCCTGGCTGGATAGATCACGCACAACAGGAGGAACAAATCAATATGGCTACCGCCAAGAACAAGTGTCAAGTAAAACAACACAGATGCAGTTCAGGAAGAAACACAAACTTAGTGAATGCGTAAGAAAAACAAAAACTATAATAAAGAATACAAGTATTAACAACTCAAATGTAATCAAAATACAACAATGTACAACTAAGGGAATCAATAGGAACAAAGTACAAGTATATACATGGAGGGATTTTCACCAACACATAAAACCTTCAAAATGGATCTTACAGTTCCTTGAGAGTTGCATAAGGAAGCGAGATAGGCTTTTCCGGCATAAACAGAGTTATCAATAAGCTATATGCTTCTTTTCCGATGAATGTGAGGAAATATGCCAAAATATTAACATTTTCCCCATCGTCCTTGGTCATAGCCCAGATTTCTAACCTTTCAAAATAATCCTCAAAAGCACCAAAATCTGAATGTATATCCAACGATTCCATCACAGGCTCCATCGCGACGCCAGTTTGGTATTTCGAATTATTTGAATTAGAGTATGAACTAAGAATCTCCGAAATAACGTAATTGAATCAATAAGTACTAGATGGGCACAAACAAATGTATTATGTTTAGAATTCGAAATCAAGCATCCACTCAGTACAAAAGAATCATCGGTTAATTCAAACACCACAGTTTTGGTTCGTTTTCAGTCTCCAGTCTTTTTATACGGTCCGTGAAGGGTATTTCTTTACGGGCAGAAACCTGACCCCTTTAGTTTACGTCCATCCTGTAGTCATTTTCATTGGGAGATTTAAAAACTACTTTTAGAAGTCTAGTTTGGTTTCGTCTCACGTTTTTCTGGCTAAACAGTCCATAATCCTTTGGCATTGTGACCTTGTGGTGGACCAGGCAGATATGAACGCGAAAAGTATAAACAAAGTTACTTAAGATCAATAGTAATAGTATTATATACAGTTAAATGTTACAAATACAATAAGAATTTGGGACGTTACTTAAGTTGACCAAATGTTGCGTGTTCTAATTGGGTCCGGTATTGTAAATCCACAATTATAAATGCTTGGTGATTCTGATCGGGTTGAGGAACTCTCTAATGATATAATCCAACGTAGAATGTGATATATTCCAATTACAGTCTATAAATAATGATGGTATATGATTTAGACTTCAGTTAACTCAATCACAAACGAAGATAGAACGAGGAATGTGAGAGTAGTAGTGTATTTGTTCGCCAGCAAGAGTATGTCACGCTATGTTAGAATCACAACGGAAAGTGTGTTCAAGGTCATTTACTAAAACAACAGTTACAGTCATTTAATGTTAAATATACATACAGTGGAAGGTTGACAAAATAAATACAAATAGCATTGAAAACTATTTACAAAATAAGGTTGTCAGGCCTATCTCCACAACCTTGGAGATGCCCTGAAGCATTAGCTGGTTTGGTAGCTCTTTTGTCAGCTCTCTGCCATATTCGAAACGAGTTCTGCTCTCTGAGATTTCACTATCCTTGGCACTATGAAAAATAACTGATTTGTATATTAAAAATTCTGTTTCATTTAGGTTATATGAAGTGGCTGATACCCTTTTCTGTTTGGGAGACAGTCAGAGGAACATTTTAAGGCTCAACACTTCCATGGGTTATAGATGTGTTTGAACACTGAATAGTTACTATTATCATATTGTTTCAAACCCTTTAGTTTTGGTTGAATTTTGTCGATCAGTTTTAATGTATTCACTAGTCTAAGTTGTTAGACTAAAAATGGACAGTAAGGAGATTTCAGGTTGTTAGAGGTAGTTGAGAGGATCATACCGGAGTGTAAAGCTCATTGCCACGGATTAAAATCTCTCAACAAGCGTCATTCGCCTCAAGTTTTCAGTCATATCTTATTAAATGTGCGAATTGGCAAGAAATATAGTTCATTCGCAGTTTCTTACCGACTACCTCCAACCACTCAGTGTGCGTTTCTTTGTCTCAACTTGAAGTAAAACAGTTATCAATGTATACACATGGGAAGTTGAGGACATTTTATATTTCATCACTGAGTTTCTGGAAATTTCCATTGTAAAACAAGATTTATACATCCAGCGGGATGAACGGATTAGATGAAAGAACCTCTGACAATGTCATATTGACAGTGTTAAACTGTAGTGGCATTGGGTTCTAAACCCACAATCCTCAAAGCTGAACACGAGAAAACCGGTAAAATAGGTATTCAACATTTAGCGCGGAGAAAAACCCAACGATGGAGAAGGCGGGAAGAATGAATTCAAATAATTGAATTCATCGAATGGCACAGCTCGGTCTTGCAGGCGTGATCATCCTCGTGAAGCCTATACCTTTGGTTTATATTACAAATATTGTTCTACCCCCAGCCTAAAGGTGTTCTTCACCATATATTGGTGATTGGTACGATAAGATGAGTTAGTGTAGACAATTATGTGACTTCCACATATGATCTTATTGATTAGATAGTTACATCATAATATATTTACAATATTAGCACTAGGTATATTATTAGAGCAATGCTAATAACGAAGTAGACCATAATTTTACAAGAGAATTATAAATTGAGAATGCTATGCAAAACATTTTGATTCACACATATCTTCTTTTAGACACTGGACAGGAATGCACGTCAATCCTTAAGAAATAATACGTTAATCGGGGGTAAGCTATGGTGGCTGCGCTAACGAAATCCAATATACTCAAAAGACCAATGTCGTTATTAGTATCTATGGAGGACAGACCTTGATATCAGGTAACAGATAATATGTAGTGTTTTCGCGTTGAACCATTCGTAACTGCTAGTGAGGCCTCAATCGTTGCGATTGTTTTTAAAAGATCATGTTCTGTAAAGATGTTTGTGAACTGTTGAGGGGCTGGATTACCCTTGGAACCATTTTGTGGTTGACTTCATTATTCGACAATCGTAGCTTTTCATTTGCAAACCGGCATGTCTTCGAAAACAGGTGTTTCTGTAGTTGTGCTGTGGTGTGTAGCGTTGTTGGATATTCGTGTCAGTTATGAATGCGGCCTATAGGGTTTGAAGCGCTCATCAAGTATTAGTCGTAGATGCGATTCAGACATGTGTTGCGGTCGAACTACGATAACAGATAGTTTGTTGTTTTTATCTATCAAGCTCCGTTTACTTAGGCCAACAAGTAAGTTGTGGTGTACAAGTAAATCTATTACAATGATGAAAATTAAGGTACTTGCAACAATAAAGATCAAATTAAAGAGTTAGGCAGAATCTAAATTAAGACAAACATTCCTTTCACCGTATGTGTATATCGTTTATTTCGTCTACAACTCACAGGTTAGACAAGGGTCTTCTGAAGGTCTCTCAAGTTAATAGAAGGGATACCAAGTTACGTACCAGTACATTCGGGATAGCTCACCATCTTTAAAACATCTCTGGTGCGTAACAAATGGATATAACCATCCGCCACGTCCATAGTCAACACGTGACGTAGAAGTAATGCAATAGAAAGAACACTCTGACGAACAGTGTTAACGCGGGAAGAGTGTACACGTGGACAACTTCTAGAACAATGCAGAAAATCAAAGAAAGCACATTTATTTGATATTTCTGCCCATTGAGGATTGAAAATTGAGCTATCTCATGCTTGACATAAAATCAGCGGATATTTGAGTTGCTCGTTACCTGTTCACTCAAGCTTGGTGTTTTTTGTCCAGGTCATCCCAACGTGTTCTGTTTTATTATGGATGATACTGATCCGTATTTTTGTATGCAAGATGAAGTTTTCAAAAATTTGCAGCTTGCCAAAACTCTTTACGAAGATTGGAGAGGCGGATCAAATCCTGGTGATCAGAAATTATTGACTAAAATCCGTCAAACAATCAAGAATATAGAATGGGATTTGATGGATCTTCAGGTATTTTTTCTTGTTTAGCGTTTAATAGCCGTCATTTTTTGGGAGCGCCCTATTTCTGATTGCGCTAGGATCAGTGCATATATCTAAATCTCCCAATTTTGGGTAAATTTTGGAGAAGCCGCAATAGTAAACATTGGGGAAATGCCACAAAACCTCAAAATTTCTCCAGAATCTCATTTCACTTTAGGGAAGTGGGCTTGTATTTGTTAGTAAAGCGCCAAAAATTTTCTCAATTTTAGAGGGGGAAACGCAAAATTTCCCCTGACTTTGGGGTTTTCCCTCAAAATTTCCCATGAATTTTGCGCTTTTGTCCGAAATTTCACCATAATCTTATTGCAGTTTTTGTAAACTCGTTTTAACGCAATACTTCTCAACAAATTTCTACAGATATAACAGTAAAACCAGGCGACAATACATACGTACTGTGTTTACTGCGATGTTACATTGCTTTTAGTCACTTACGCAGTACTAAAGAAACTTAAGGTTAAATGATCTATCGCTGTAATTAAAAAACTGATTCGTGACACAGAAATGTTTATTACGGTTAATAAAGTTACAAATGATTGATTTATACAAGGCTTTTTCATTGCTTTGTAACAGAAGAAGCAGGTTACGTAGACGTTGAACTATCATTGACAATGTCCTACATAAATAAAAAAATATTCTTTAGTTTATAAGCGAATTTCGAGATATGTAAAACGTCGATGACGTACCAACGGTATAACAATGTTGTCAACAATGCGAACAAAAAACTTACAATTACGTCTGTTAAAACTTTCGAGGCCAGATGAAAGCAAGATGGACAAGAAATAATTTTTCTACTGACAATAAAAAAGTTGTTTTACTACAAATATTGATCACAAATAATATTAAAACTGCATTATGTATTATATCAAACATGTAAAGTGCTTATAGCTCACAATTTCTTTGGATCGTCGTCCACGCTTATTTACATTATCTCTTGCGTCATGCAAGAAAGCCTGGTTTGCAACATCCATGGCGTGTACTACTTCTTTTTCGGGGCAGGATGTACTTCGGAAACGAGAACACAGAACACCTACATATATAATAATACTATAGTGTGGACTTACTTTGAACCGTCCGGTAAAATTTGTACTTACTAATACCTAATCTACTTTTCGTTCCGTGTAAAGTGTACATGTTCGCCAGTTCCGGTGACAACAGGTAACCTAGACAGGCTTTTGCTGATTTGCGAGGGTCATCACATATGAGCTCGTACAATCTGGCCACCTCAAATTTGTTCAAACACCTGTTACAACTTAAGAACTGATCACGGAACCTTAACTCATCTAAAGCAACTTCAAAAGAACGCAACGCTTTATGTGTTCTTAATGGGGAAGCAATAGTTGAATTGTTAAATTGGTCACTACGCTTGTTCATTACACCCATGCATCAGCGTTCATTAAATGAGATCAGTTTATCAATCTTACTAAATACTTCAGTAACTGCTTTCAGAATCATTTTCAGCATTTTATTGTCATCATTGCACAACCTTTTCTTATGTTTACATGAAATCCAAATTACGGTTTAATAACTTCCGTTGATGTACATTGAAGCGGTGGTGAGAAAACCTCTGTTTTCGATTAACTACTTTATGAGGGTTGATTAAATAGGTACATACTTCGCTATAGGTGAGAATCTTCCTGTCAAAATGTTGACAACTGGAAAGTCGATCGGGGCAAATCCAACTTCAACCGCAGCAACCTCTAGTTCTTCAGAGGTGCATAAATAATCGTTAAGTTTTCGTTTAGCAGCCCTAACACAAAAGTGATTTAGTAAGTTGAAGAATTTATCTTTTCGGCTTTTCCACTTCACACGGTAGCGTTTCATCATCTATTGTAATTTTCTTATTGTAACCGAGTACTGCGGTTAAATAGACTTTCATTTCCTCGGCTATATCGTAGTCATCTAAAAACAATGAATTTAAAGTGATTACAACTTACCACAACAATGTAGTACCGTGCATTTTTTCAAAGTGAAGCGACTATCACAGTTGACACTATCAATAATATTCGTTGCAGTCACATCATCACGATAAATAAAATGGTCGTTGTTCAGCAGCCACTTTTTAGGGATGCAAAGAACTTGCTTCTTCTCCTTATCGTTAACCAATATGTATTGTCCTGATCGGTGCTGTAAATCAATGCGGAGGCGTTAAAAATTGAAAATTTATTACATTCATGAAAATTCATTAAAACTTCCTGATGAACAAGGCCAAAGCACTAACCAACAGACACTTACTGCATAACGTACTATATTTGCGACAGCCATTGAGAAATGATGTCACATTTACTATTGGAATGTATGCAAAAGGGGAATAATAACCTCATAATTTTGTGTCGGTATACAAATGCACTTGTAAAGTATGTCAGTGTAATCCACGTACATTCGTGGCTTACGGTAGAATACTTGAATATGCCTATAGTACTGGAGGAAAATGGGTCAGTAAAAAAATCCAACGGGTTATGGAATGCCCTAAACCTAATCCTGCTTCCATCAGTAATTTGTGTTATCAACCCCGGTTTGCCGTTGGCAATAACTACATTGTCAGGTCCGATGGTTGTTAGCTTTGAGTTTCTGCAAGTGATGATTTCCTTGGATGAATCATAACTTACCTCAGGCTCAGATTGTCAGCCATATCCTGATTCACTATACTTGAAAGTAAACTTCTTCAGCATATCGCTGTACAACTTGTTTAGCCGCAGCAAATCCGTGGTGTACTGAACGCCTAATTTTCCTCATGTATGATTCAAAGGAAAGGCAGAGAACGACTCTAAACTGCCATGTTCTATGACGTCCTCTGCAATGTGCTTTGAACTATGCACACTATAGATTAAGTGATCGCTACCGTAACAGTTTTTGTAATCTAATAAGAAGTTGTTCGCATAAACCCGAACACTGTTCGCGAATATGGTGTGCAACTTAGGGTGCGATAATAAATATATTGACAGGAACAGGCCCTGGAAGTTTCTGTACATTGATAGTGGTAACCTCTCATGAAGAACTACAAGGCCTAAGTATAATAAGAACAACCGACATTCAGTTGCTTTCCATACAGAAACTTCATGCAGTGAACGACATTTCCTTGGAAAGTTGCATGTAGTGTGCTGTCTACATAAGTCCCCAAAGTTTACCATGACGACTTCCCCAAAATTGGGAGGTTGGGTGTGATCGCAGAAAGAATTGTTAAGTAAACACCATGACGGGAATATTGCAGAAAAGTGCACGAAAAATTTGCAATACGTTCCAAAAGTGTGATTCGTTCTCGAGGCTTCCACCGTTTGAAACTCTTCTGCATGTATATCGTGTTCGCACATCATTATGTTAAGCATGGACCATAAAAATTTGTGTTCTGTTTTTATAACTGCTAAATATTCTAATCAATGTTCTGGGGATTGATTAGTGTAGTTGAATTACAGTGCTCCATCGTTTCAAACCACAAGTTACCATGGGGTTTTAGTGTTATACAATCTTGGGCGTTAGCCATCCTATTGGAGGTAAAAAGCTCGTAGCTGTAGCCAACATTTAAGCTGACACTCTGTCTTATAAGTTATCTGCGAAACTATAGAGTACACTTTACGGGTGGAATTTTCGTCAATCGCTAGTCTTATCGACCTTCTTTATCTCCAATCAAGTTATCTAAAATTTCTTAGTAACATCTACCTGTATTAAAAGGACGCTATCAGTTTGATTGTATAATATCTTCCTCTTAGTCAGGGAAGTAGACTTTATTAAATAGTCTGAAAAGCTCAGAACCTAATAACTTGGTAATAAAGTATCTAACTCAGTTATCGAATATAGGTTATTTAAAGTATTATTATTATTTATTATTATTAATAATAAAATAATACAATTATCGAATACAGATTATTTAAAGTAGTCACATTCGTTTTGTCTGGTACAGCATGTACTAAGTTTTGTGGTACACTTAAGTGTGAGAGTTAGTGATACTACTAGTCCAACTAAATCGGAGTAGTCGACTTGGCGATTCAGACTTGGAACTTATCAGCTGATAGTTGATTGTTTTATTCACTAAGTTGCCTTTCTTCAATAACATTCAAATCCATATGGGTAGATGAGTTGGGACATCATCTCTTCTGATTCTCTTAGGAGACGGAAGCACAGTTATCAATAGTATGTCGTTTGTTATCATCCTCACCCAATACGGTTGCAGTTTTACACGGATTTCTAAACATAATGGATGGTGTAGTTCTCTTCTCAAGTTCAGGTTTATGTACTTCGCCATGTGACATGTTATTTATGTATGAGGTTAGTGATAATTCCGTACCAACGAAACAAAGTGGGTGAACCAAACTCCAGAACTGACCAGTTAGTTAAAAGCTCAAAGGTTTTGAGTATTTCCCGTCATATCTCTAAAGATAGATCGTCTGTATTTCCACCTTGATAAACCTTTCGTTTGTCTAACAATCTACGGAAGAAAATTTAATATGCCTCTTAAAACTGATCATGCTCTGGGGATTGATGTCACTTTCCAAGTGTAGTCCTTAAATTAATCCTGATTTTCACCATATGCATCGCAAACTTACTCTCAGAACTATTTACACGTCCCATTATCTTTGGTTTCGAATATCACAGTTTCTGTTTAGATAAGAAAAACGTGGACAACTATATGGAGTGCTTAAATAACGTTCATAAACCCTCATTACTTGTGGTACGGGACAGTAGCATTCAACTTACAACCAAGAGCTAATTTTTTCGTGGAGGGGTGCTGTATCTTACTGTATCGTTATGAGCTATGGCCATTTAGTAGAATTATTAGATGTATAGTGTTTATATTAAGAAATGTTTTGTAAATAGGAGTCGTAAACACAAGTTGATTGAAGTGGGTAGAATATGTAGTACAGGTTTAACCACCACATACTGTATTATTGTTTAGACACAAATATTGGTATTGAATATATATGCACCACACTTCACCATTTGATTTGTATGAGAACTGAGGTACTGCCCGGGCGCCCAAACTCAAGCGGGTGGTTTTCTTAGGAAGCCACTCCCTAAGTCTTTGACTCAAAGGTCTAATCTACAGGGCAGTGTGGCAATTTTAAGAGATGCAGTCCCATGGTAGCTGGTTACGGACATTAGGTTCACACATCATTTATTCCCTCAAGATCCTGGAGCCCATCTTCACCGTTGGTTTGGAATTAGGGTTCTCCTGCTTCCCTAAATGGATCCTCTATATCCACCGATCCAGTTAAAGTCCCGGACATTCACTTTTCATCTTCTCAATTTCGTAAACAACATCCCTGCCACGAGAAGGCAGTGAGTAGTACTTCCGTGGGAGTGACTGTACATGGATGACCATATGAGAGGATTTGGAGAAGGAGACTGGACTCTCCCCACCCTCTGTCGTAACAAGGCATTCGGGGATACAAACTGTCAAACCAATATGATTGTATGGAACTAAAATTTAGAAATATCGTTTATTATTAGAACTTATCCGCAAGTCTCGTTCAATCTACCTTGTGATGTGGCAAATGCTAGTTTAAATCGAACTCTGTTGGAAAAATCGGGATAGATCCTTTTCACCTTGCTGCTTGAGCAAAGGTTCTTGTTGCTTTTATTATATCAAGTTCACTACGCGTTAAATAAGTACTGACTATTCCACCATTTCATATACTTATCCAGTGCTTTGTTTTCTTCTTGTTGCCTTCATTCGTTGTTTGTAAAGTATGATAAAATGAACTGATACATAAGTCTGAAATGTCTTTGTTTAAGTCTGTGTCATTTTTTACTTGTTAATCAATTATTTGGTTTGTGGTTATAGTCAGTCTAATTTTATGGATTATATAGACTTTCACCTTGGCAAGTTGTTTCGTTCGTGCATTTTATTTATGTAAGAAAGGCTAATAATCAGTGTAAAACTGTATCTAAGATTTGTCTCTACGTTGTATATTTAGACTCGTTCCTATGAAATATTTCTTAAAGTCTATAGTCCCCATGAGGTTCAGGACGATTTTGTTCTATAAATTGATGTAGTGATTTCGGAACTTCAGCAAGTAAGTTGATTTGTGTGAGACTAAATGTGGGTTTGAATTTTAGTAAAGGCATAAATTATCACAAAATTATAAGACAATGGCGTGTTAATTGATATCGATAAGTATGTAGATGTTTGCTAAAATTCCCGTTAATTGATTGAAAACTTGTAACAGGAATTTAAAGTGGAAACTTTCTTGTTGGTCTATTCATATATTCATTTTCTTAAGTTCTGTTGTGTCGTAAAATCTTTGACAAGTTAATGTCCTGATTTCTCTCTGTCATTTGACATCAGTAGATATTTGCATCTACAGTTATGTTGGTTTTTTGTGAATTGTTTTTTATCAAATAATTACTTTCTTATTTTTCATCATGTCTTACGTTTAGAGTTGCTTTCCATCACAAACAGGCATTAGTGAATTATCTAATAATGAAAATAATCTACTTTACTTTCAGCTGTATGTTAATACAGTCGGTTTTGAACCATATCTTTTTTTTTAAATGTTAGTGTTAATTATCGGCTGTCTGAACCGAAGCCTATAGGGTCGGGTTCTAACCTACATACCAAGTTAAGTGCTCTAGCCACTTTTCTAGACATCTAAAAGAAGAAATTTACCAAATACGTGTTTTAATCTATTGTATTGTTCTTCACCAGTGACCTACCTATCAAGGCAAGATATATGTTATAATTTCTTTTATTACGACCCAGCTACTCTTATTGCTTAGTATTTTTAGACACTACTTCACTCGAAAAGTCCCCAAATCAGGACACAGTTGAGCAGGAACGAAATTATATTCCATATGACAAGGGTAGATGGGAGTGGGAATCACAATAAGAGAAACGTTGGTATATTTATAATTTTTACATAAGAAGATTCTAGAGTCTTCTCCAAGTGTCCACTAGCGCTGATTGGATAAGAAATTGTCAGTCAGCGTGCCCCAACATAATCCTGTACGAAACGTGCTCTAGTCCAGTTTATATTTCGCTAACAATATTCCGCATCCTTTAATGATCTCGTGTGATGAAAGAAATATGTTTAGCACTTTAAGTCTCAGTTGTTATGGCCTAGGAATTTCAACTGATATACATGGGGCAGTTATACGTTGTTTATGACTGTGTGTTAGTTATTATTTAATCAACATGTATTGCAAGAAACAAACGACTCCTTAGTTTACTACCAAGTATCATTTTCAATAAATCTGAAATGTTTAATTTTCGAATCTATTTCCAGGAAACTATTGGAGCAGTGGAAAATAATCCTATAAAATTTCGTCTATCCGATAATGATATATCAGCAAGACGTCAATTTTTAACAGAAGCAAAAAATGTAGTAAAGAATGTGAAAAATTGTTTAAACTCATCAGATAATGGCAGCAAAAGAAACGATTCGCCTATTGATTTCACAGTCCATATCGCACCGCGTCCATCATCATCACCACCCTCATCGGTGTTATGTAATGGAGATTTGAAAGTGAAGTAAGCGAATACTTTACAAGTTTATTTTGTGTATGTTTGAACTATTGTTACTGCTGTCCTACAACTTGCATTACGTTGATTCTGTGACGTCAAGAGTTCGTTTTAATATTAATAGCTTTAACTGTATAAGTAAACACCTTTAAATTAATCACTGAACTACATTCTATATACTCTGGTTAAAGATATTACCCAAGTATTAATAGATTTACGACCCAAATTCGGAAGCAGAAAGTTGAATACTTGTTTCACTGGTCCACTCTGAGAACATTCATCTGTAAATGTTGTTGGCATTTGTTATAACTGCAAGTTGATCGATATCCATAGAAGATTGGTCAGTCAGAATCTTGTAGTATTCCTCTACCCCGTGCATACTATTTTACCTATTACCTAGCATCCTAAGCTTTGTCCAATTATACGTTTCTGTCATCAAGATTAACCTTGAGTTGAGGCTGAGGTAATCCCAATTCGTGCTGGTCCATAACGTATGCCTCTCTTCTAGCCCAGTGTTTAGTCCGGTAATAGAACATAGTAAGCAGTAGTTCAGTAATATATCTCATGTGAACCAACTCATCAAATAATACAGATCAATTTCTTGATCACACATAAACGTGAATATAAAATTACCGTGTAGATATAACTACACCAGAAGTGGAAGAAAGCGGGGAAAAAGGTGAATGGTTAATTCACCATAATTAAGGAATAGTAAGGTGTATGGCAATGGCTAGTAAGGTCCACTGAAAACTTGCAGGAAGTAGAATATAGAAGTACAAAAATGCAATTATCTCATAATTATACAAACAAAATATAAATAGTGATAGTTCATAAGATAATTTTGAAAGACTCGTGTAACCGCGTAGTTTTATTTGTGCTAATAATGTTTTAGGACACTGTTTAGACAGAAATTCAAGACAGTACATGCTAATCTTATTCACTTTAGGGACTGTTTCAGAATAATTTGGGTATGAAAGGTTGGATATACGTTTCCACAATTGGAACAGACTATCTGAGCTGAGGGTCTTCGAAAATTATTTTTTCTTTAGTATTACTATTGCTTATTATTGGCACTTTGTAGGTATTGTCATAGTTCAGTAATGTTTTAGTTATAGCAAAGTCGTTTTGAAATAAAAGTTTTAATGGTTGGGGACATTTTATAATGACATCCAAATGACCATAAATACATCAGACAGGATATATATGAGATAACAATTAAGGTACGGTTCTACTGGCTGGTAAGGTTCTATGGTATGCGCATTATCGATGAACATTAATGAAAGAAAACCTAAGAGTATTTATTGTAATCTCATGTCATTCAAGGAGTTGATAAAATTTATTATTGAATCGTTTCACCTTAGTTTCCTGTTGGATAACGAAGATCGACGCCTATATAGAAAAACTTTAAATTTCCCCAATAGTAAAACACACCTTAATAACGGATGCTACAAAGCAGGAAATATAAGCTTAAAGCCCATGAAAATATGTAAAATCGAGTGACGTTCAATCATGCGGTCGTTTACAAACATTTCAGTAGTTTAAATACATATTTTATGGTGTGACTATGGGTTGTATCAATTTGGAATTTGTTTAAGTTATAACTATTCAAATTTAGCGAATAACCAATACAAAGTAAATCGTCATATATATTAGTCTCTTTCCTTGCACCGAGCCATATCAAGTGAATGGTTTTATTAGCGTACGCGTTTATAGAATAATTCTATAGTCAATTTCATCGTTGTTTGTTAACTGTAATTCACATTAGTAGATAATATCCCGTTGTCAAACTATCGAATTAGGATACTAGTTATTGTAAATTTCATTAGTTCTATGTATATACGACTTCAAGTTACTTACGTTTTCTGGTCATATCCTGGTGAAAATGTTTATTATTAGATTTTATTCAACATATGTTAACAATTTTATCAGTTTAGTGTATTTAACATTAGATCAGTCTCACATTGAATTTCATTGACAAATACTTGTGTTTTCTTTTGTCCCTCTCCCTTATCATCTTCCATTTTAAATCAGTGATCAAACAACAAATAAAACACAATCTAGTAAACGAATAAATTCTCATATAAAAAAGTCATCACCATCATCAAACATCTATTCTATACATTATGATCCGTTAACAGAACAGAAACAATTATTATATGAACAAGACAATCGATTGGATCAATTAGGTACAACCATATCGAATTTAAAAGGAATGTCGCAGCGTATCGGTGATGAATTAGGTGATCAAGTTGTTCTGTTAGATGATTTCAATAATGAAATGGTTAGTACAGAATCAAGGCTTGATTCAGTAACTAAACGGACAGCACGTTTACTACACTTAAATACTGATCGTCGTCAATGGTGTGCTATTTTCTCTTTGTTAATCACACTCATTGTTATATTGATTTTATTTAGTGTCCTATAATTGTTATCCTAAATAAATAGGATATATATATATATATATATATATATATATATATATATATATATATATATATATATATATATTCGTTTTTGTATTATACTGTCTTGTTCTCATATTTATACGTCTCTTTTCCAAGTGGTTATTTTAATCAATAGTTTCCTCATGACTTGATTTATTTGTTTTGTATTGTTTACTTTGTTCGAACCAAAATGTGTTGTTCTCACTATATGACACTAATGTTTATAATCTCTTTTGAATTTTATTGTTAACTTATCATTCACTAATTCAACTTTATCTGTGATGTTAATTCATTAAGAGATATTCAGAGAGTTTATTATTGAAGAGTTACTGTTGTTGTTCTTTTTCTTATTGTCGATGCTTGTATATTCAAACTTAAGTCATTTCAATGCTGATTTGATTGTTTTTGCATTATACTTAATATGAACTGTATTTGAAAGTGATGATAATTCAATCTTTAACAATTACCGTTTAAATTTGAAACTTCTCGGTAAGGGTTCGAATCCCATAGAGAAAGTATCAATTCCCTCAAGATTTTAGATAAGCTGTGATGATAAGTCCCAATAAGCACGAAATGTAGGTTGAACTGGATATTTTTGCCAGCCATCTCCAACCATCTAACATTTCAACACAATGTATGTGATATGTCACTTAGACTAATGGAAACATTGAAACTTAATAGATAGGATTCTGTAAGTACTAAGTACTAGACAAATACTGAAAATGGTCACTACTCAATAATCAATCAATGTAAACACCTTAAATTATGTGTGGTCTGATTTCGTGGATATTTGCTGGGATTAAAAACCTGGTGCCGTTTCTCAGTAGGTCTAATATATTCGCGATAGAAATAATTCAAATGCTCAATGGTATACATTTATTCACAACCTTGACTAACCCATATTGCACTGGAGCTTTCAACAACGATATGACAGGAAGTGGATTAGTAAAAATTATTATGCAGAAAAGCTGTTTATTGGTATGAAACTTGACATTTTACAGACTAAGATACATGATACTATAAGACAATGAAATGTTTGCAGAAGTCCTACTTGAGTATTACTGCTAAACGCCAACAGGTGATGTGGATTGCCAATTCACCGGAAGTTTTTCTATGATAACTAGTCCGACTAAGTTGGGAATACAGATTGAAGGAAAACCCTTACTTTAAACATAATTTACACTGTGTAAGTCGATTCTTGATACATAAAATATAAAAATAGTGGTCTTCAGCACGATGAGATGTAATTATCAGGACAAATCACAGAGTAGTCGAAGTTGTAACAATATCAGTAGTAGTAAAAAAAGACTTAAAATAGATAACATTGAATAAAGGGTAATATAATTTTGGAACTTAGGACTTAAGGGACCACATGCTCTATTGCGAATAATTTTGGGACATATCCAAAATTTTCAACGGTTGGCCACAATCTCCTGGACCTCATTCTGTCATCAACTCCATGGACATGTGATACGTTTCGGTTAGTCCGCCTCAAGCTTTCTAACCTACTTCTACATTATTCAGAATCATGCGTCAAGATAGTTGATGGTTGGCCAGACGTAATACATGCCCTGACTACCTCAGTCGATGAAAATAACCTGTTGCCCTCAATCCAATTTCAACATCGCTCAATTTGTCGTCCCAATATACGCGTAAGCGACAAGTCGGTAATATTTTCCCCATACCGAGTAGAAGATGGGATCTGAACGATCTTGTGGGTACTCTCATTTCGACTAATTTTTCTATTTCATCCAGTGTAACTAAACTTACTGCTTCGTCATATGAACTGAATACTTTGTTACCAATGCTAATTACGTTACTGACAAGAAAGTCCGAAAATGGTATAAATTGACTGGTTTGGCTAGTTGATTATAGACAGTTTATCAGCTTAAAAAATGGCCTGTTTATTCAAAAGTCCGACTATTTATTCCTGGTTCTCAATGCTTTGGAAAATATTACTCGTGATCAAATGCAAAATGACCTATCATGTAGGTTTCGAATTCAAATACTACTCACTTTGATTGTTCAGATTAAATAGAGATTCTCAGTAGGCTAAACATAAGACACCCTAGTGTTTCATCGTCCCCGGCACTAACTGGGTTATTCATTTAGAATATTGTAGATACTCTCGTGTTATCAGTTTGAAAGATTTCATCTGCTTTGCTTTAGCACAGTAGATTCAGGATCCTTAAATCTGGTGACCATAAAATATCACCTACCTTTAGTCTTATTATGATTGTAGTAATTATCGAATGCCTTGTAACTGAGTCCTTTTTTCTTTAATATTTTCTGTAGATTATCTTCAGTCTTGTCCCATGTATGTAGTCAATCGCTCATCGTGTGTATCGTAACTACCACGTATCTTTCGACTATCTCAAAGGTGATCTACGCTAAAGCTATGACCTGTATTTAATCCACTGCTTAAACAACTTACGATACATCAAGGCTTTTCGGCTAGTTATTCACTTTTATTATTAATAATGGTATTATTCAATATTGTATATTGAGTACAATATGGAAATCTGTTTAGTAGTCAAATAAATCTACTATCCTTTTCCTATCTTTTCTAAAGCAGTCTCATAATTTTCGCAAAGCAAAGACTATGCTTTTATAATTATCATTTATGATTGTCGAAATATATCGATAACTAGAACAAAAAATTCAATGTTTGACTTTCACAATTTATGAATATATATAGACTACTATTAATAAAGTAGTAGACAAAAGATGAATGAGAAATGTTTATTACACAAAAGAGTTTGATTTTATTTGAATATTGTTAGTTAGTTAACTTGGAAAGACTTTGGAATAGTTAAAAATTACTTGAGCATGGGGGCAAGAACAAGAGTTTCGTGTCTACAATGAGAGGAGGAGATTTCTAATGAATGTAGAAAGGAAGATATCTTTTTTTATGTCTGTCAGTCGTTTCATTGAATCCAAATGGATTAATCTAACAAAAAATCATTTCTCTGTAATATTGATTAATGGTTAGTTATGTTCATTTACATAAATATGACTTCAAGAAGACGGTGAGTTTTTACTTACTTTACAATAGAGTTGTTTTCACAACAAAATGCTTTGAATTAAGTTAATATATATATAAACAGTTTTTTATCGACGGAGGTTTAGCAATATGATCTATATTAGTCCTAATTATTGGTTCCATTTATTTGAGCCTTATTTTCTTGTGTACAAGTGGTAGTTTTTCTTGGCAAATCATGACTATTAAGCATATCCATAGGCGTGCTCATAAAGTTTTCTGATTGGTAATTTCTAGTAGAATTCGTCATAAGTTCAATCAACTGTTGTTGTTGTTGTAGGCTCTGCTCTTTATGATGCGGATATGGACGTGTTTGTAAATAGGTTGGATAATCTGCAGAATACAATATTGATTGTGTTGATGGTTGATTAGTATAACTACTGTTTTGTGTTTGTCTATCAGTCAGCAAAGATGAATTATGTGAACCGACTAAATTCGGTTGCCATGATATGATAGGATTTATTGTCAATGTTTTATTTATTGGATTCATTGTTTGTGTCCATTGCATAGTTAAAGGTGTAATATTTGCGGGAGTTTGAAAGATTCCATTATTTGGCTGATTTCCGACATCGTTACGATTTAACTGGGTACCATTCATCGGAAATAAGGATTGGGCAGCCAGGCTAAGAAACGATTGTGCTGCACTAGGATTTAAACTGTTATTTTCTGTCAGTCCAGGTTTTAGAATACACCTTTCACCAACAAATGTTTCTAACGGTCTGGGTACATCATATTCATGGCTTCCTGCCCCTGAATAGGCATATTCAGGCATTGGCCAGTAGGCTGGATTCGGTGGCGGTGTGGAATTCGCCTCTAGACGAGGGTTTGGAACAGTTGTGAGTAACAGCGCTTGTGGTATATTGGGTCTACGGGCGGATATCGTTGTTGAACCAAACTGTGATGGGATTGGAGTAGTGGTTGCTAACACCATATCAGCAAATGTAGTACATGTTGTTTCTACATCTTCACGCTGTAACAGTTTAGCATCTAAACCATTCCCATTTTGATTCAAATGATGCGATCCAATATTATTCATAGCTGATTGATGCTTACTACCTCTCAACAAATGACCATTATTATTATTGCTACTATTTATCCATGAAAACCACTTACTATGCGATCCTAAATGTGATTTACGTAGATTTTTTGCTGATAAATGATTATTGATTTGACAAAACCAGGAAAAACAATTTGTCGCCAAGTATAATAATGCTAAAGTGGCAATAAATGTTCCTATAACTGCACCGAGTAATTCTAATAATGTAAATCTTTTTATGAATAAATAACCATATGTCTCTTTACTTTCCTCTTGTAATGAATTTGTTATCTGTTTATCGAGTATCTGTGAAGTTGTGGTCAATGATGACATTGAAACTTCAGCATTGTCATCTTTCTGAGCATGTTGCTTACGACTGTCCAAACTTGAAGATTCACCAATTATTACAGGATTAATAAATTCAGATGGTCTCAGAGGTCCAGACACACGTACAGTAACTTCATGAAGCCTATAATATTGAAATTTGGTTTGATGATTATCAGATGTTGGGACAATCAGGGATGTAGGTTTAAATGGGTTAACAATACCCTCGGAAGAAGTCAATGATGTAGTAGATACTGAAGATATTGATGGTATCCCATCATTATTCCATATTGTACATGTGAAGTTTTCAATATTTACTGAATTCAAACTTACATTTAATGCAAGTTTTCGTTCAATCATTTTGTTCCCTGGTAATATATTCAAAGATGATTGACTATTAGAATGCATAAAATACTGATCATTGGAACCTTGTTTAACTGAAGGGTCTAAAATTTGTTGTACTTTTTGTCCGTGTATCTTATATGTCCATGCAAGACTTGGTGTTGGTCTACCTTTACCAATACATGTCAGTTGAGCAAAATCTGCACTTGCTTTTAACATATTTATTTCAATTCCAGTTATACTTGGGATTGGACAAAAATAATCCCAACTACGTGGTAACTTCTTACCAGCCAAGGCAGGTGGTTGTGCACATGTCATATTCATATGTTGCATTAAACGAATTGATGATTCTGTTGGTGAATTTGACCAATCAGTAACATCTTTTTTGTGATCATTATTGTTTAAATCTTTACCAGTGACATACTGATATGCATCGTAAGACTGACTTTCTACTAACCTTGAAAGCCACATAAGCTGACAATCACAATTTAAAGGATTATTGCTCAAATCTAGATAGCCAAGGTTAGGACGAGGTGGAACAGTTGATAAATGATGAATTTTTGAATTTGGAGGATCTATGACAAGTTCAGCGAATTGTGGATCTAACCATGTTAAAATATTATCAGATAAACTTAATTGTTTTGGTTTAGCCTTAGCTATTGTCTCGTAATCTAGTGAAGTTAAATCACAGTTTCGAGCTGCCAAGTGAAAAACATGAGCACCATGAAATGATGTTCGATCAAAAATTATGCCTTTATTATCAGTTAGTGAGAGAAGCTTTAAAGATGGTCCAGCAAATGCTTCTGATCCAATTGTTATTATTCGATTTTTTGACAAATCTAATATACGTAAATGTTCCATAGCAGAAAAAGTATGTGATTCAATCTCTTTTAAATCAAAATTACTTATTTGAAGATATGTTAATGTTTCCAAACCGGTTAGATTATCACGTGTTAAAATTCCATTGTGTTGACCAGTAGAATTCATTCCTGAAATGATAAGTTTTGCAATTTTAGCTGGAATATCATTTCTTGGAATTGGTAAAGATGGTATTGTTGACTGACAAAATAATACAGGACGATCATTTTCAGTCAATTGTAAACATGCACATTTAACAGATGATGTAATAATGCTTAGAAGAATGAAGAAATAAAAAATGTACAAAAGTCTTAAACTGATTAAGGGATGCATAGAATTCGATAGATTTTTGAGTTCCATATTCTTTATTTGTTTTCAAAGTTGTCAATCCTGTTGGGATAGTAACAGAATGATCTGTAGAAAAAGAAAAAGAAAGTAACTTATTAGAATACTAAAAACTGTATGATAACGATATGTAGTTTTTAAAACAACCAAGCCTTTACTGATTTAAGGTTTAAAATGGTCATGACTATCGATTAGAATATGTGAGAGATACTAGATGATCGTCATCAGTCAGTCATCAATGTCTATTAGAATTTTGATTTAATCTAAAACTAAATAATTGTATAGTCTAAATCCTTGGCTATTTCTTTCGGTCTGGTCAATTGATTAGGTATTATTCATTGTTATGTAATGACAACAGTGGTAAGCCTAGAATAATGTTTGTTTATTCTTACTCAATTCATTCAAACAAAGTTCTGAAGAGTTAGGAGGATAATTGTTCATCGGCGACTTAGATAATGATTTATGGTAGCCGGAACTAACAACACACGCATCATTTCTGTAGTGTGGTGAGTAATATTTCAAACAGCCAAAACTCTAATTATATCGGAAAACAAGGACGGAGTCCGTTTACCTTCTTTGAGTGTTGACAATAAACATGCAATGAGAAAATAGGAATAAATGCCTTAGTACTATCCAACGAGAACATATATTTATTTAAGTATATGTACATAAATAAGCTCTGGGTATCCATAGCAATTTTTCAGTTCTTTCCTTCATTTATCTCATTAACCATATTGGGATCATCGGGTAAGTGATAGTGAGGTTAGACGAAGGGTATCAGGGAATGATGGTAAATCAGTTGATGAGGTTGTGAATCTTCATCGACTGAGATGGTTGGGCCATGTGTTACGTATGCCTGAACACCGATTACCACGACGCGCAATGCTGTCTAGTGTTGGAGATGGTTGGAAGAAAGTTAGGGGCAGCCAAACCAAAACGTGGCATCAGTGCTTGAATTCACTAACTTCTAGTCTTAGTCATGTTGATAGATGTAGACTAATTGGTTGGAGTCGGTGTGACTATCGTGACCGATGGTTGAAGACTCTGGGTGACATGACTGAGAATCGATCACAATGACCTTGGTGTATACACTCTCTGTCTTCCTTTAAGCTATCTTTCTTTCTACGAACTAGTTCTTTCTTCCTGTACTATGTTTTTATATGCAACCTTTCTTTTATATATTACCACCTCTGAATTAACTATTACCATGAATCCGGTATTCATCTTGTTGTGTTAATGAAGTATGGTAACTTGGACCGATGCATATATGTGCCTAGTCCTACGTCGTAGCTGATTGACTGGATCTAAAAAATGAGTACAAGGTAGCTTAGTACAAATTTCTAATGCTCATTAAAGCATACAGTGATAAATTCAGTAATAATTAAAAAAATAGTACAAATAACTAGATAAAGAGTAATAAGGAGATCCTATCAACCAATGAATTCTCAGAAGTTAATCTCATATCTAGAGATCTGGTCAGATCAATCAGCCGTTAACACAAGGAGAAGATGAATTGTAGGAAGATTTGGTAATCAAAATAGAATAAGCAGAACCAAATGAAATGGTACAACTCTGTATATATGATAATGACAACATGACCTTCAAGGATATGGAAATTTAGAGAACTAAAATCAATGGGAACCAGTCAGAAAAAGTTAATGCAGAAAATTTAATTAGAATAAAAGCACATGGAGCATAATACATAGATTGTTCATTCACTAAACACTTTATTATGCACTAGACAATATCTCTACCAAAATGATTTTATATAAAAATAATGCAAAAGTGCAAACATTTGTTTCGTGACAAATGGTTAGCAACAATACAAAATAGTTTCAGTGTCTCAAACCCAGTTGTTTGTTTAGAATTGTGCTCACCGATAATTTACTTAAAGTCATTTAATCATGAATCACTTGGAAAAAGAATTACTGGTAGAACAGAACAAGTGGGTCCAGTTTCTATGTTTTCATTAACATTGCAGGTAAATGGTTCACCGTGGCTTTATGTAACGACTTAACTATTTACTACTCTCATTAAAATATATGATCGATTTGAAAAGGGTTATTTTCTTCACTACATTATCTGCATAAATTACTATTAACATTTTTATGAATTTCGACAATATTGTGCTCTCTCCGTTAGATAGTTTAATTAATCAGTTTTAATTATCATCCTGAACTTTATCTTCAGTGCTTAATTCATGTATCTGTCGTTAAAGGTTTTAAAGACTAGTTGCATTTTGTTTGATAACTCTTACTGATTAGTAATCTATATTTGTTGGTCAATCATCAATTGTCCTACTACAATGCTTAGTTCAATTTCATACGGAATAAGAGCGTCTGGTCACTTTTTTCCCAGGTTCTAGAATTATCTTAACTAATGTGCTGTGTTTTGTTTTTTTAGAGAGAATGGGGAACGACAAATTTTTGTATATATTAAAACAAATTCACTAAGTTTCTTTTTCAAACAATACGATCAATCTTCCAGAAACAAAAATAGAAGGAAATAATTCATGGTAAATTTATTGTTTCTAGTGACCCGTGAAAATTGTTTCAAATATGGAAAAATTATGACAGATAACAGATTACTGAGATATACATTACTCATGGGAATGACATGTAATGATTTATGTATTCATACTAGTAATAAATAATGTTCAGATTGATGTAACTAGGTCATGAAGATTGATATCAGGATACATGTTGACAAAAGATGAATAGTTGAGCAACAGAGAGAGAGAAAGAGAGAGAGAAGATTTGATAAATTAAGAAGGTGAAAGGAAGTAGGAATGCGATAGGAAAGGGGAATCTCAATAAACGTAAAATGATAAATCACTCAACTGCTGTATGTTGCATGTTCAGTATTTAATTAGCGTTTCGCGTATATACACGTTCCTATAGTGGTAATCTAGATGACAGATCAATGGGAACTATAATACGAATATGCCTTTTTATTATGATTAATTGAAAAAAATATCAACATTGTGAAATTTTCGTACTACTAAACGGTTTTGCTTTATTTCTTTACTTTATGAGAAGGTTGGTTAAAACTTATAGTCATGAATTGATGATCTTAACGCCAGAAGCTTTAAAGAAACCAATAACAGCCACTAAATAATACTCATCAATAGAGACTCACATATTAGTATTATGAATGAAAATAAACAATGATCAAGGTATCAGTAGAAAGCATTACTAATTGTTTTACGATATCTTATGTATCAGCCAATCAACAACGTAGAACTTCGTAAGTAAGTACATGAGTTCGAGTTGCCATACCACATTAGCACACAGATACAATTGTCGGTTCAAATCCCATGGTGGTAGAGGTAGTAAAAGAATAAGTAGTAATCGGAAACACTAGAGTTTGAAGATGTTATTTAATGAGTATAATCCAGTGAAATAAATTTGAAAAGAGAAAAAAGGAAGGGACATGAAGAATTCAGAAGATTAGAATTTGGGAGAACACAAAGAGTGGATGCACCTGCGCCATTGCAAACGATTTTGAGCCATGTTATTCAAGGTCTCTAATCATCGGTTGCTATGATCTCACGGATCCCCTGAACCAGGTAATTTACACCTACCAACATGGCTCAGTCCACTTGTGTGTATCAAAAAAGTCTAATGATTTTAATTCATTGAATCAATAAAGTGTGTCATCTTTTATTATGTGATAATTTTATAGACACTTCAAAGTGTAGATGTATATGGATGAGTTTGTAAACAGTGATGAATGAGGCACACTCTTAATATATGCTATTCATTTATCTATCAACTTCAGTCTACACAACTGTCATTATTTCAGTTCTTCGACTTATTATTCAGATTTAATCAGTTCATCACTATTATTAATGGTTAGTGTATACAATTTTCAACTTTCTATTCATTTCAACCGTTGAGATCATGAGTCAATTGAAGCTAGACCACCATGGAAAACCTGGAAGCACTGGACGGCCGTTTCGTCTATTCATTTAATGTTATAGACTTACACTACTCATAAGTAGTAAATAGTAAATGACATACCATTTTATATATGCATTTCTTTAGTTGCTGAAAACTATTCATAAAACAGGAGTACTTAACTCTTTCTTATTAAATTTATATTACAGGAAGCTTTAATTTTAGATTTTATTCTATGCAATAAATATCGACAAAGAGTAGGATTCATGGTTACATAGTAAATTAATATTATAGAATTTATTCAATATTAGAAATTACACAAGAAAACATTAGTTTATTGTTTTCAATATTAACAAAATTCAAAGTGGAACTGATTTTATTACTGTAATTTTCCACGGTGGTCTAGCTTCAATTGACTTATGATTTCAACCAGTGAAATTTCTGAAAATCTTCACAAAACCCATTCTGATAATAATAATAATCACCTGCTCACTAGTGACTGAATTCAGGAGACACTCCTGGAGTCCTAGTAAGAAGTCGTTACCAGTGGAGTTCAGTCAGGTCTGTTGTGAGATAGTAACTCACTGAAGACGATGGTGTACGGTGGCGCAACTTCGTGGATTGGTTGAAGTTAGACATTAACGCCGTTGGATGCCGTCTCAGTGGTCTAGTTGGTTAGGCACCTGGCGCGAGACTGATAGGTCCTGGGTTTGAATCTCGCAGGGTGCGGGATCGTGGATGCGCACTGCTGAGGAGTCCCATACTAGAACGAAGCGGCCGTCCAGTGCTTCCGGGTTTTCCTTGGTGGTCTAGCTTCAATTGACTCATGATTTCAACCAGTAAAATCAATAGTATTTACAACATTTAAGTGTAGAAGAGTATGATGAACTTTTTCTCATTTCCTTTTTAATATTTAATATTTAGTTCCAGAAACTTTGTACTTAAGTTCGATCTTACAGAAATAAATCGTCATAGATATTCAACTATGACATGTAGGTACTATTGAATACTTTAGTATACCGTAACTATAATGAATATGTTTTTTTTTCAGTAATGATGGGAATTTTAAACATCATAGTAATAAAAGCAAGAAAAAGATACCCATGATAACCTTTTCCTATTCTTGGACATTAATAAAACATCATAAACAATCTATGTATACAATTGTGT